GAAGGTAGTGTACTAGGGGGGAGGGTTGGGAGGGGAGAAAAGTGCAACAATGAATGAATGGAAATCCAAAGTCTCTGTAAATTTTTACTGAAATTAATAATGAATTTAAATAAAACAAAAAAAAGGAGAAAAAATATATGTATATGTACAATTAACAAAAATGGTGGTGTTGTTAGGTACTATCAAGTTGTTTATGATTCATAGTGACCCTCTGTTTCTCCACAACCTCGCCAGCATTTGTTGCTTTGCTGTTCTGTTAAATTTTGCTATTGTGACTGAGGTGAGATGATATGCCATAGTTGTTTTTATAGTGACCCTCTGAACAACAGACCTGAAGCCTGCAGTATCCTGCACCATCCTCACCTCCTCTGATATGATCAAGCCCAGTGTTATAGTCATTTGTCATTCCATCTTATTGGGGTCTTCACCTCTTGCTCTGACCATGTACCTTTTCCAGCATTATGTCTTCTTCCAAGGACTGGCCCCTCCTGACAACATGGCCAAAGTATGTGAGACAAATTTTCACCGACATTGACTCTAAGGAGCACTTTGGTTGCACTTGCTCCAGAAAAGAACTTCATGTTCTTTTGGCAATCCATGGAATATTCAGTACTCTTTTTCAAATACTGCTTGGGATATGGTTTTCACTTTTCATAAGCAAAGTGACTGTGAATAGAGTTTGTACATTAGCATGTTGTGAGCACACTCCAAAAGCAAAACTTCTAGAAGATTGCCATTGGATAGCACCAGCAATTCACAGTAGTAACACTTTCTATTTTGAGCTGTGCTGCCACCCCAGAGGCAGAGGTTTGAATTCACCAGTTGTTCCTTGGGAGAAAGATGGGCAATTTCCCTTCTGTGTGATTTATAGCTTCTGAATACCTTCTGGAGGGTCAGCCATGAGTCAATTCCAACTTGATGGCAATGAATTTGACTTTACTGAATGTGTTCTCCTTAAATTACAAAAGCACTTGCAAAGTACATTTTTCTTACCGAGCCCAGGACATGATTCTGGAAGAGCCAGCCAGTATATGAAACTTCCAAAGAATCTCCAACTTCTACAGCAGGGCCCTCTGCTACAACAAGGTCCTGGGAGAGCACTGCATCCAGGCAAGAGGTGCTGTTGCACTTGGCAATGCAAACCTGCAAGGCAAAACCAAGGCAATAGAAACGTGTGTTTAGGCTCAAGAAGAACTCATCATATTACTACTCCTTCCCCAAATTGTTGCATCCACAAAGAAAATAGATTACATTTTACAAAATAAACCATTCCAAAATTAGTACTCTTGCTAGGAATCAAAATGTTGAAGAGTATGGCTTTGTGATGTAATTGCACATCCAGGCACGGTAACTTACTAACACTGTGAACTTGGTTAAGCACTTAACTTCTATATACTCAATCAAGACTATTCATTTTTAAGTGGAGACAAAGACACATTATTCACAGGGTGGTTGAAAAATTAAATAAGCTACCACAACAAGATAAAGGTAAATAATCCAATAGAAAAATGGGCACAGGATATGAACAGGCACTTCACCGAAGACGACATTCAGATGGCTAACAAACACATGAAGAAATGTTCAAAATCCCTAGCCCTAAGAGAGATGCAAATTAAAACAACTATGAGATATCATCTCACCCCAGTCAAAATAGCAAAATTTAACAGAACAGCAAGCGACAAATGCTGGCGAGGTTGTGGAGAAACTGGAACCCTGATTCACTGTTGGTGGGAGTGTAAAATGGTGCAACCCCTGTGGAAAGCAGTATGGCGCTTTCTCAAAAAGTTGCAAATAGAGATACCATTTGACCCAGCAATTCCACTACTGGGAATATACCCTGAAGAGACCATAGCTGACATCCAAGCAGATATATGCACACCCATGTTTATTGCAGTTTGTTCACAATAGCAAGGAGTTGGAAACAACCTAAGTGCCCATCAACAAACGAATGGCTAGAGAAGCTGTGGTATATTCGCACAATGGAATACTATGCTGCATTAAAAATAAGGAACTCATGCAATATTATTCAAAATGGTTGACTCTGGAGAACATTATGCTGAGTGAAATATCCCGGTCACAAAAGGACAAATATTGCATGATGCCACTGTTGTAGAATGGGACTGTCCTTGGGGTTGGGGAGAGACTGAGTAAGATGGGTTCAATAATGTATACTGCACTGAAACAGAGGAGGGAGAAAACTGTTTAAAAGAGATATATGACTAGGTATTTCTGTCCTCACAGGAGTCTAGAGCGAGGGCTACATGGTGGAGGGGACCTGGGGGACGGTTTGTAAGACAGTGAAAGAATCCTTTCTTTTACTTTTCCATAATTTTTGACTCATGTACTTATAACTTGTTAGTCAAATTTGTGTCTTCTAGGTTGCAACACCCCCATGATACATCTTCAAGGATATGAACATGTACAGCCAAGCACAATCAATAAGAGTGCATCTAAATTCCAAAATCAATCTCCATAATAGTCTATGTGTTTCCTACTGCCAAAGGGGCCCTTTAGAGTAGTGAGAGAAGATCTTCATCCTGAAACCCACAGCGTCCCTTTTCAGCAGGAAGTAGCAAGAGAATATGCCATCCCCTTTTCCTTATGAATCAGGGTGAAGTCTCTCTCAGGGAGGAGTGATAGGGAATGGCAAAGGACACACTGACAAAGGAGATTAATCAGAACTGACTTTGATAAGCACTGTGGCAATTGGACAATTAAAACAGACATTCGGATGGCGGGGAAGAAGAACAAACTGGGGAGGAGGGTAGAGAGAATGGTGCAGCAATGAAGGAATGAAAACCCAAAATCCCTGTAAATGTTCATTAAAACTAATAAAATTTAATAATAAAAAAAGAAAGATTAAATAAGCTAACACAAAGTATACCGCTTGTCACAGTACCTGACAAGGAATCACTTAATAAATCTTAGCAATATTAGGAGCTCTGGCTAACAAGCTGCACTATCAAACCAAAGATGGATGGTTTGAGTTCACCTGTGCTTCTGCACAGACAAACAGGTATTCTTCTGGTATTCTCTGCTTTCAGCCTGTATCCATCTGACATCAACGATGACAACCCTGGTATTCTGGCAGTCCTCTGTCAATGTACTATTTTAGTTGTTTTGGATAATCTTCAACAATATTTTGCTTGCATATGATATTAAGGATATTGTTTCATTTCCACATTCTGTTGGATTGCTCTTTTTAGAAATGGGAACAAATATAAAGAACAAAATCCATTTATGCTTTATTGTCTATGCAAAGGCATTTAACTCTGCATATCATAAAATATTATGGCTAACATTGAGAAGAATGGGTATCCCAGAACACGTAATTGTGCTCATGCGAAACCTATACATACCTACATCAAGAAAAGCTGCTGTCCAAAATGAGCAAGGGAATACTGTTGTTGTTGTTGTTGTTGTTGTTGTTATGTGCCATCAAGTTGCCTGCAACCGATAGCAACCTTATGTATGTTAGCTTTAATCCCTGCTATATCCTGAGCCAATGTCATCATCAGCAACAGACTTGATCCCATTTCCTCCAGTCATTGAGTCTTTCTATCTCATTCTGGGTCTTCCTCTCCTGCGTAGTCCCTCAACCATTTCAAGCATAATGTCCTTCTCCAAGGACTGGTCCCTCCTGACCACATGACCAAATTACATGAGACAGGGTTTCTAAATCCTTGCCTCCAGGGAACAGCTTGATTTCACCTTTTCCAGGACCGACCTGTCTATTCTACTGAAGTCCACAGTATTTTCAACACTCTTCTCCAGCACCACAACTCAAAGGCATCAATTCTTCTTCTATATCCTTAGTTACTGCTCAACTCTCCAATGCATAGAAAGTAACTGCAAAGACTGGATCAGGCACAATTTAATCTCCAGACTTATATCGTTGATCTTCAGTACTCTAGAGAGGTCCCCAATGTAATTCATCTATTGATTTCCTGATAGTGCCTAGAATGCTGAATGTGGAACCAAAAAAGTTGAAGTTGTTAATCTCAATCCCTTCTTTGTCCATCATGAAGCTGCCAATTTGCCCAGTGATCTTTGTTTTCTTGATGCTGATCTTCAATCCATATTGAAGACTACAAGTCCTTGACCTTTTGCAGCAAATGCCTCATGCTCCTCAGTTTCAGCAAGCAAGGTTGCGTCATCTGCATAATCCAAGTTGTAAGTCTTCTTCCAATCTGTCACCACATTCTTCTTGATAAAGTCCAGCCTCATGAATGATCTGTTCTGCATATAGATTGAAAACGTATGGAGATAGGATACATCCTTGATGCACACCTTTCCTGATCCTAAACCATGCAGTGTTTCCATGCTCTGTCCTGATGACTGCTTCCTGGTCCAAGTATAGGTTTCGCCTGAGCACAATTAAGTGTTGTGAGATCTCCAGTCCTCTCAAGGTTAACCATAATTTGTTGTAATCCACACAGTCAAATGCCTTTGCACAGTCAATGAAACACAGATAGACATTCCTCTGGTACTCTCTGCTTTAGGCCAAGATTCATCTAGCATTGACTCTGTCCCTAATACCATGGCCTCTTTAAAATTCAACTTGCATAGCTGGCAATTCTCTGCTGATGTACTATTCCAGTCGTTTTTGGACAATCTTCAGCAAGATCTTGCTTGTATGTGATATCAGTGATATTGTTCGATAATTTCTACACTCTGTTGGGACAGGAATAAATATAGAAAAAAGGGAAGAATACACGGTTTAAAATTGGGAAAGGCATGCATCAAGGTTGTACTCTTTTTCCACACCTATTCAATCTGTACGCTGGGAAAATCATTAAAGAAGCTGGACTAGAAGAAAAAGAATGTGACATCAGGATCAGAGGAAGACTCATTAACAAGCTGTATTATGTAGATGACATAATCTTGCTTGCTGCAAGTGAGGAGAACTTGAAGTGCATGCTGCAGAATATCAAAGACTGTATACAGCCTTCAACATGGATTATATCTCAACATAAAAAAAAAACAACACAAAAGTTCTCACCAGTGGATGGACATATAGAGAAAATACTGAAACTGTCAACAACTTCATCTTAGTTGTATATCTATACACACATTATATATAGGTCTGTCTTGGAGAGAGTGAAATCAAGTTTCTCCTTGGAGGCAAGGATTTTGAAGCTCCATCTCACATACTATGGGTATGTGGCCAAGAGGGACTGGTCCTTGGCCAAAGACATCATGATTGAAAGGGTGGAGGGACAGCAAAAGAGAGGAAGAGACCAGATGAGATGGACTGGAACAATAACTGGGTCAATGGGATTAGGTGTGTCAGAGTCAGTGAGACTGGCTCTGAATAAGGCAGGGTTCAGAGCTGTTGTACATTAAGTTGTTATCACTTGCAGGCGCCTCTATGGCACATAACAACAACTATAGATACAGATACAGATATAGATAGAGAAGTAGAGAGATATCTATATATATACACACACTATATATAGTCAAAACTGATGCATAGCTGACCCGCCAGCAGGTTTTCAAAGGCAGTTATTCAGACAGGAAGAGATTGCCCACCCTTCTCTTGAGGAGAACCACGTGCCTTCAGGATTGCAGTGCAGCTTCTTGCCAGTGAGCTCCCTATGTACGTGTGTGTATACACACATGCATCAGAATATGAATTTTCCTAAATTAAGGAAACTCTGAACAAGCCTATTCTAGTATACTGCCTTTTTACATAAAAACTAGGTATTACCTGTTTGTTGAAATCCACAGCAGCCTTCTCTGACTCAAACATGATGGACCAATTTTGTCTCTGATCATCATAAAAGGTGCTATAGTTGTTGGCCCGAACCTGAGAAAAAGAGAAATGTTGGGATAACTAACTGAGATGTGAAGTAGATGTAAGTGGCTATTTAACCTCATGAAGAATTCAGAGTGGTGTGAACCCAAAGAGAGATACTAGGAACTCTCTTCCTCCTTCCCACTTCCGCCCACCACTCCCTAGACCATAACCCCAGAGGCAGCCACTAAACCTCTGTGTGTGGCTTTTTTATGTACTGACACAAATGCTCAGGGCTGAAGGAATGGATCTAGTTCTTACCAAGTGCATGTATACAGACTAATCTCCCCAAAGCCATTCCAAAAGACCTAATGGTTCGAAGAAGAGGATGTCTTACCATTAGCTCAAAGTTCAGGTGAATCCTGGCAGCAGTAACTGGCTGCTGCTGACTAATATAAAGAAGAATCCTATACTGTATCAAGTAAAGATGGGGCAGGGAGAAAAAACAAAAAGAAAGCAAAAGTTAAAAGCTAATAAAAAATTAACACCAAGATGTCAGTAATTGTATTTTATACAGCTGTAAAATTTGAAATTGCGGTTATTCATTAAAGATTAAGATGGTTTTTGCAGAGATTTTAGATGCTATCTTTTAATAGTGCTTTCCATTTTTTTGCCTTATTTCTTAAATGTAGAAGCCCTGGTGTTGAGATTGCTAACCAAAATGGCGGTTTGTATCCAATTAACAAGAGAAAGATTGACAGTTTCCTTCCGTAAAGACTTATACAGCGTTGGAAACATGATTGAGAGTCATTATGAGTCAAAATCCGTTAGTTGGCAGTGGGCATTATTTTTTGGTGTTTTCATTACATGAAAGATAACAGAAAGACAGTAATATTTACTTCATTTTTAAAAACCAAACTAATATAATTGTAGAAAAACAGTAAAGTACACAAATCTTAAACTTGATTTTTACATAGGCTACATTCAAACGAACACATCGGTTCTTTCCACAGCCGAATCAGATCGATTACATATGTGGAAAGAAC